TTATAAAATGTATATAACATACATATCGATTATATATCATCATATATATATAACATATATAGATTATATATCATTATGAAATGTATACAACATATATATATACACACACACACACAGCAGTGAAGTGGGGCATCATGTTATCATGACATCTACCCTAAGAACAAGGATAGTACAATCATGAAAATTAGGAAAATTAATAGCTCTTAATAGTAGTATCACACTATTAACCAATTCAGCGCATGTAGTTAGACTTAGTCAACTCTCAGCTCCTTTTCCTGAGTTCCAGATCCAGTATAGTACAATGTGTGCCTTTCTAGTGTTCTTCAACCAATTCTTAACTCTTATTTCTCTTGATCTCTTTCAACTTGAAGAATATAGGCCAATTATTTGATAGGATGTCCTTTGATTTGGATTTGCCTAGCTTTTCTCATGACTAGGTTCATGTGACGCTTGTTCTGGTGGAAATACCATAGAAACTAAGCTGCAACCTTACAGATCAGGAGATACAGTACATTGATTTATGCACGTTTGATTGATCTTACATATTGCCTCTTGAAATTACTGTTCTTCAGACTTCTTCACTATAAATTTGTCATTTCTTGTTTTGTAGTTGATAATTTATATGTCAATACTTTGATAGTGTATAAATATGTTTCTTATTAAGCTGTTGACCTCTAATCAGGGATCACTTATAATTTTCTGATATTTAGAAAATACATAAAATTCTTAGTTGCTATTTGTCATTTTACAGTAAGAATAAACTTCTATTCTTTCTATTGATGTTTGCTTGTTTTGATACTTATGTTAATATGAGGTAATGGGTTCTTAGTTTACTCAATTGCTTACATTTATTACATTAATCTTTTTATTTACTTTTCTATTTGAATGCTCCCATGGAGGGCCCCTGTGTCTTTTAGAAATAGCGTCCATTTCTTTGTGGTTCAATAAAAATTTCAGAGGTTCACTTGTAGCTTTTCTGCTATAGTCACAGGGATCAGAGGTCTCTTCTCAGAGCCCTGGTCCTTGCAGTGGGTGCAGAATTAGGAAGTGAGACACGGGTGTCAGGTGTGCTCACTGCTGTGCTGTCCCTGCTGCAGGTCCCCACTGCTGTCCTGCATGTGCTATGCCAGTCTTGGCCCTGACTGTTAATCATCCCTTCAGATTCAAAAGTGAACACTCTGAAGCTGCGTCAGAGCTCTGTGTGCAGTGGCACATTTCATTTCCTGGCAGCAGTCATTGTAAGGTTAGAGAGAGAGGCTGACCTTCCTTCAGGGTGGTCTCCAACTGCCAGGGTGCAAATTGCAGGTGACCATGTGAGAAGCCTTACTAACTGCATTCCCTCTCTCCAAATAGACTCTTTCTTTCTTTCTTTCTTTCTTTCTTTCTTTCTTTCTTTCTTATTTAGTACAGTGTCTGCAGGGTCTCATAGTGATTCTCCTGTTTTCAGCCTCCCAAGTGCTGAGATTACAGGTATGCACCACCACACCCAGTCTCTAAACTTTTATTCTACTACTATATCTATTTCGGCTCAATCGTAGTGTTTTTCTTAGTGTGGTGAGGTCCAGTTCTGTTTGGGAATTTGAAAGCCACATTGGCTTACCTCTTGCTTGTATAACCCTTTTCCCTTGGATTTTTCTGTGGTTTCCTCCTACTTTCTGTTTCCCTTTCATGTCTTTCCCATCATTAAGAAATCCAGGAAAACAAACTAATTTTAGCTCAGTTGCTGTGTTGGTGCTACATTTGCCGGTTTTTTTCATGGTTCTCAACTTCCTGAAACAGTTTCTAGATACTACACTGAGTTTTTTTCAATTCTTCTTATGCCAGCAGAAGATGCATCCAGAAGTTATGTGAAATTAAGAAATTTTGGGCTTGCAAAGCTTTGTCTAGATTTGCACTTTTTTCCTTGGAAAAATTAATTCAAGGATTCAGTGAAGTTATGGCAATAGAAGCACAGCAGAAGGTCAAAATAAGTAAGCAATGTGCTAGGTGAGTTTCTGAAATCCTCCGACTGCTGGTGACTGATATGAGTGATGTTGAGCAATACAGAACCTTCAGGCTGGATTTAAATTTCTCATCTTGCCAAGATGAGAAAATGTCTCAGGTCAGAAGAATTCACAAACAATATGAACCAAAGAGAAATAAGCATGCAACATGGACAGCTGGAAGAAAGCTTGCAGGAACTCATTGAAGATTACTAACATGGTATGGAACAATGGGCTTATGAGAAAGATTATTCTATTCTTTACAGAAAACTCCCAAATTTCTGTATATTGTGCTGTGAAAAATCTGATAACTTTCATGTTAATGTCTTATACA